AAGAAAGCATGAAGGAAACTGAAGATGTTCTAGTCTTGATGAGTCTCACAGGCAGACCTCATCCCATCTCTTCAAACACAGTGCACAATATATTCAGAGAAATTTAAGTTTTAAAGAAGAATTAAATGTAAGAATTATAATCAGTAAGCAGGAAAACTTTTGAATAGATTTCTACACAGGTTCAGGGCAGCTATCTAGTGAAAACACTTAACTACATCAAACACCAACAAGCACTGCGAACTAACTCATGCATTAAGAATAAGGCAATTTGCTTTCTCAGGAGCCACAGTTAAATATATGTTTTTCTGATTTCTCTGTGTTCTTGTATCATTTTTAAAGAGTGTACACAGAGCCTAAGGCTGCCGTAACCAGTAAAATCATGCTACAGCAGAACAGAGACAATATTTTATGAAAACACAGTCAGATTCCTCTACTTCTGCAAGTGAGAGCAATGGTTCTGTTGTCACAACCATGCAAACAGAGATAGAAAGTGTGGTCAAATTCTGATCCAGGATACACATTATGAAATCAGAATACTTCCATCAACTTTGGATGTACTCAGGGTGACCTATTCTTTTTGTTCCAAGAACAACAGCCTAGTTCTTCCTATAACACTGATAACACTGAAACCAATTAACTCTGCAACCACCATCTGGCAAACAGTTCCTCTTTATGAGGAGTCAGAATACTGAACATTTATCTGCATTTATGAACAGTATCATTTTGTGGTATAGAGTCCCAACCAATCAATTATTCCACACCACTTTGGAGCACGATAGCCATTTACGTTTTTACAAATGGTTGTGTCAGATCTTGTCTTTCTGTCAAATCTCCTTTCTCAAAAAGAGTAAATGTTTCCAGACTATACAGTCTCCAGGCTTGCAAAATTCAAACAGATCAGAATAAATTTAAAAATGAAATTTAGAACAGATGACCTATACTTATAAATCAAGAGCGAAAGTCTTATTCCTAACGCTCATTAAAAATAAATAAATCTTGTGCACGCTGAATTAGAGAGATTCTGCCCCAACTATTAAAGTTAAAAAGAAGTCAGGCTTATCTCATTTTCCATGTGACACTAGATAGTTAAATTACCTTTTTCCTTCTCTGCCCACTATTAGTAATTTTATCCGGAGTGACTCCAAGATCTGCAAGAACTTTAGCTATGCCCCTAGCATCCACTCCGCAGTTTGGCGCCACATTTGTTTCACAGCGTCGATGTACATTCATCTTGCAAACTGCAATGAAATGTGTCAGAAAAAAAGTATTCCATTAAATTAAATATTACCTTAGCCATGCCTTTTGTCTTACTTATACCAGACCTTATTGGACCTATTAATAGCTTTTCCAAATACAACATAAATTCAGAAGAAAAATACTTAGCTGGATTTACAGTGGCACTTGGAATGGAAATATAAAGTGATTAACCTGGTTATCATTCCTTTACTATGAAAATACAGTGGCTTTAGAATGTCACAGGAACAAGAGAAAACATGTAATGATTCTGTAAATCTTAAATAGAATTCAAAAAACCCTTTGGAGCTTAAGATTTTAACCATTCACTGCTCTCATTCTGTCAAAGTAAGTCCTTCATATACTAATGCCTCTTGCTCTATTGGACCTAAGAAGATTAAATCCTGCTGTAGTGAAGCATAAAATCAAGAGTGTTTTATTGCAAGTCTATGGCACTTTCTTTAGATCACAATCCATTTACTAAGGTCTTTCTCAAAATACCTTTGCTGGCATCTTAGTAGGGGAATAAAAAGTTTCACTGCTTGCCAGGATGGGGGAGAACATATTTGAGCAAAGAATGATTTTGTCAGGAGCCACAGAATACATTTTATCTTAAACTTCACTGCCCTCTTGTGGAACAAGGCTTAAAGAAAGCAAAATTCCCCAAACAAATGAGCACTATATTAACAGTCAATCAGTCAAATTTCTCACTTCATTACTCACACTCCCCCACTACCAAAAAAAAAAATAAAGATAGGTATTTATAAAATTATAATTATGTTGTTAGTCAACAAGGTTTTCAACACAATTTTAAACAAAACTGATATTAAAATAGCTGTGCAAAGAGGCATTATTTCTGAGGTAATCATAAGCACTTCAGAACACAGGTGCCCTTGATTTTGGGGCATCTTTCTGCTCCCCAGAATAGCAGGAAGAAATTGCTACATATTGTATTCGGTAACCAAAAGTTAGTGGCAAGCTCAATATTTGACTTGAGACTCAAAATAGAAGACAATAGGAACTGAACTGCTTGAAATAAAGCAGGAAAAACTTGTATACTCAAATTGCATGAAAATGTTTTATAAAGAGTAGTACAGGAATAAGCAGTGAATAAATACACTCTCTGGAATACACTTCTCATGATGCTAGAGCACCAGCCATGCAAGCACAGCTCTGAAGAGGGGAGTGCTGATTGACACTCATTAAAAAAGAAGATAAAGCACAGGGAAAATTCCATTTCCAGCTCTAGAGGTCTAGATTTCATGCAGACCATACCATATTTTGTAGGTATGGATTTTTTGAACATATAGAAAGCAACACGGGCTTTCCACACTACCATTTGCATGCATCTCCCACGCTGTATATTCATACATGAGACACATTATTTCCTACAGTTAGCAGAAAATGAGCCTGTATGGTACTTGAGAAAGAATATGGCAATGAACTAATATATTCACAAATTAAGCAGAGATACTGTAGCTTTGCAAGTAAAACCACCAGGTCAAACTGAAAAATCTCCTCTGAGCAGAGCTCCGCTATAATTAATACAGCTTTTGAACAAAACCTTTAATAACAGTGAAGCAACAGTCTGACACTAACACTGAGCACCTGCCAGAACTACTGGGCAAGGCTTAAACCTCAGGGTTTGTCACAAGACAATCTTCTCTTTACCTTTCTGGCCAGCAGTTTGCAACTTTGAACATGAGCTAGAATTATGTCTTATTTTGAGTAACTATATAAGATAAATTTTATTAATAGATTACAAGGTTTTCTATACATATGGCTCAGCGTTTCTGCCCCTTAGAGAAGCACGTAACATCTTTTTTATATTCATGAAGATAGAGCTATTCATAACACTGTTACAATATCAAAATGGGTATAATTCCATTAGGTACTACTTCCTATTGATTTGACACAATCCTCAGGACATCATTCTCATAAATGCACTAATTTCAACATTTTATTCACTATTTTAAAAGACATTACATTTCTTTGCAGGTGCGTGTTCTGTATTCTACCAAATTTAGGGCATATATCTCTGCTTGAAACAGGGAAATCCATATCAAACCATTTCTGTTAGATTCCTACAGAAGCTTCATACATGGTCCAGTATATGCAGTCCACAAGCACATAATGAATCCTTTCCTTTCTGAAAGGAGAGGCCAGGGCAGACTATCACAAAGCATGGTTTACCTCGATGTAAAAATAGCTCATCTTCTGGACATGGAGCAACACTTGTTCTGCCTGGCCTCCTACACATACAGTCAGTTTTGAAGATGATGTTAATGTTTAAAAACAAAAAAAAAGAAAAAAAAAGAAAAAAAAAAAGGGCAGCGTAAAGTAGTGGTGCTACGAGAATAATAATTTCAAAATTTTAACCACCACTACAACCCTAAAAACATGGAAAGCATATGAGTTGATAGGATGTAGAATGTCATGCTCCTAATTTTGTATCAACTTGTAGTTTCCTGTGTGGCACTAAACATAGCCAGTGCAGAATTTGTTTCTTCACTTTCGTTGTCTACATCGGCCATTGGGTCGTGTTGCAGGCAGGGTAGAGGAGCACCTTCTTACCACAACGGCAATCCCCCACCATCCTGCTGCTTGCCTCCTATTAATTTCTGTGCATCCTAAAAAGGGCAGAACCATTTTACAGGAGTAGCATAGTTTTGGATTACAAGAGCAAAGGTCTTTCCAAGTCTACTGCACTTGCTCAGGAACAAAGAGAAGCCCTGAAGTGGTAATCCTTACCTTTGCATTGTAAACCTTGTCTCAAAAGACCCCAGAGCAACGAACCACAGTGGTCACAGAAGGTGGGCACTTTGTAATTGTGAATGCTGAACTTGTGAGGCATGTTGACACTAAAACGCTGGGATCCCACTTGCTGAAAAAGGAAAGCACAGCATATTTCATTCTAATTAATCTCTTTATAATCAGTGTACACCGAGACCCTGTTATGTTTTGAAACCCCACAGAATTCAGGCTAGATAAAATAAGTCTGTGATCAAGGGATGATCTTTTATTACGTATGCTCCAGCCCCAGAGTTCCCACTATTTTATTTGGGGAAAAGGGAAGGGCTGCTGTTGTCCAAGAGATAAAGACTGAAGTCTGCTTCCTAGTGCTTCTGGGAAAAATAAATACACAGCTATCAGGAAAGATCTGTTAATGTCGAAGGCAAGGAAGTCACTCCCAGTTGTTTTAGGAGCAGGAGGCAGAGCTAATACAGAATTAAGAAAGAGAAACAGATCACAACCCCTTACTTTTCCATAGCCCACTGTTCTTTAGGTTATGAAAATGATAACAAGAAAATGTTGCATTCAGGGACTCCAAGGTAAGATTACTTACTAATTAAAGGATGTCACTGACAAGTTTTTACAGTAGGGCAAGAGATTTATTTTGATGCTTTTCCTTCCCTTTCCTATTACCGCTGGCTTCTCTCCAGCGCTCCAGCACCCTTCCAAACAATGAGAGCATTGTAGCAGCAAACCGTACCAGCCTCCACCAGCCTGGAGCCTGGGAATATAAATCTGGGCAAGACTCTCTATCTTCTGGTGGGCACTAGGTACTACTCAAAAACAGGACTAGTAAGATACAGCCCTGTAGAACTGTATGAGAGAGCATAACTTTTAGACTTAAAATACAGTACTTTTTGGTGGTAAACCAGATATTAAAGAGTGCCTAGCCTTCAATACACGCAGTCATTTTGAAGATGATGTGAAAGCACAAACACAATGTAAAGTAGTAGCATGTAAGGCATCCTGCCTGACGCTGAAGGACCCACTCGCTGTGCAGTACCTTGTGTTATCACTACTGCCCTGTTACATAACAGGTCTTCTTTAATGCACATATGGCTTTTGCTCAACATTGTGGCAGTCTGGATACAGTCCCTGTTGAGGTGAGCTTTAGTGAACAACTTCTGGGTAGACTTATATATTGACATACATAAGCATACTCCATATACTATCATCTGCCACAAAATGCAGTTAAGGGATGAAGGGTTTGATCGTGATTTTTTTTTCTCGAATTAAACCAATAAAGCCCATTTAACTTGGAAATAGAGTTTAAAAATCAAAACAGAGGTGGAATGTGCTTAAACTGTGCATTCAGACATTATAAAAAAGTTTACTAATTTGAATAAACTGCCTTACTATAATTTCCATGTAAATTAAACTGTTTTGATAATCTGTCATTCCAGAGGAAATGCTATTATTACAAAAAATCAGAAGGGCAAAATAACCCTGTGTATCATTTATTGATTAAATGGAGGAGATGGCACTAATTTGAACAGATGAAAGAAACCGCTTTATCTAGAAAATTCATTTTATAAATATTTACCTCGTCGTGAGTTTCCTGTTTTTTTAAGCCAGCACATTTCGTTATTATAAGTTCATGGCATCTCTTGTGGACTACACAAGTGCAAACTATAAACAAAGAACAGATAAAAGAATGAGTTTTCATGAAGATTGATTTTAAAGTAAAAGCTTGAAGCCAAAGACCAGAAATACTGGGACATTAAAGACATGATGTAAGTGACTGCTGATTTAGGGAGTTCTTAGTCTGGTTTATAAAAGCAGATATGCATTTTTGAAAAGTCAATATGTTAAGAGAAATAAAGCCAAAAAATACTCAGTTATGTAAAACTAAAAATCACCTTGTAAAGCACTAACTCTACTTTTTCTTTTCCTTACATAACAATATAAATGATCAATACAGTCCATGATTTCCACACCAGGTAAAAATAATCCCTGTCTGGAAAGTTTCCAGAGGAACAGAGGCATAAGGACAATTCATTGTACAAGAAACTGAGAGAAGCACTTTGGCAGTCTTAGCTATACCCTTCTCTACTATGACCTCTATAATTATCTCATCTATTTAATTACAGTCTTTGCAATTACCTGGCATTTTTTCAGGGAAGAATCTTAAGAAAAATAAAAATTTAACAATTTTAAAATGCAAGAAGTAAAAATAAGAAACCAGAACCAGCAGAACTGCCTTGAGTTGGATGTACATCAAAAGATAACTAGGATCCCCTATTCAGAGATGCTAATTTTGCTACTATTTTATATATGCTGTCCAAGACCAACAGTGTTAATCTTATTGCGACTTACTGTAAAAACCTTTTGGGGACCTCAACATGTCCAGATCTACAGTTCTGTTCTAAAGCCCTGCCTTTGTAGATATAAAGTCTCTTACTTATATTTTATAAGTTCAAACCTCCTATTGTACACTTTCTTCTTACCTTGACATTGGTATCCCTGTTTGCCTATTACACCCCTGAAAAAAAAAAAAGTGTTTTAGAAAGCATAAAAGACAAATTTAATATTTTTTTAATCCTTTTCATGTACATAATCATTCACCATGTTCCACATTAAGACTGATTCATTGCCATACACTCTTAGGAAATAATAACTGTGGATCAGATATTAATTTTATTTTTAAAGGTACAACTGGGTAACTTTGAAAAGCATGAATGAAGTTACTGAGGAACCACTGAAAAATGAATGTCTCTACTGCTTTTTCCCTAGCTTTATCATGGCTATTCAAGGGTCATGTAAATCTAAAAGGGATTCCTGACATACATCCCTTCTTATAAAAGGGAGTTCTTGTCATATATCCCAAAAATAAAGGCCTTGCAGATTTAGCACCCCAAAAAGAAACACAATAAAATTCCAATAATCATCTTCCCAAAACTTACTAAGATGTATAGGAGCTCATTATTTCCAAGGAAGATGATGGTAACACTTAAGTGTCTAAACAAGAATTTGGGCAGTTTGGCGAAATGAGAAGGTCTGACATTAGATCAACACCTACACTTAGGCACGTACAGTGCAGCAGACTGGCTGTACACCTAGGATTTATGGTGTGTACTAGACAGGAGGAGATTGAACTGTGTGGCTCGGAGTAGGAAAAAAAGAAAAAACAAAAACAGCAAATTACAACATTCATAAGGAAAGTCTGGCAGTCTTCTATTATTGTTTGCAAAACTGATGACAGCTTAATACTAGAACAAAAAGGAAAACAACTAGTACTCTGTTCTGCTTATGCTTCAGTAAAGGCAAGATGGTATATTAACTCTCTAACACACAGTTAAAAAGAAAGCCAAGTTACAGCTGCTTCATACCATATAAAATCTCTGCAGTGTGAACAATATGTTGGTTGTCTAAGGTAGGTGGCCATGAACTTGTGTCCATTAACCTGGTGCACTCTGCGTCGCACGGCGCCCTGGCGCTTCCTAGGGCGCATACGCTCCCGGAACACACGTTCTTCATTGTCTTTGGGGGCTGAAACAGAAGGGAAAAGGCAAGATGAAATAAATGCTGGCTGCACCACACACAAAGACTGAAAAAATGCAGTAAACAACGCTATATTCTCCAAAAATAAAACTAAATGTCTCTAGCTAGCAGTGCAAAAACCTTCCCTAACACAAGTGTAACTTGTTCTCTTTCAGCATTGAATACCAAAGGGCAAGTGTTTTCATTGCACAGTATATCTATCTATTAGTGATTGCAAACCTTTCTTGCTCCATTCAACCCAAGCTGTGAAGAAGTCTTCTGATTTTTTTTTGTTTTTAAACTACCAACCACACTAACGAGTTCTTAAACTGTAATTAAATAAAGTCTCCAAAGATCTCAGACTTGCATCTCACTTGATCTTCAAAATACCACTCTTCTCCCACCCCCAAGGAAGCCTCAGGAAGCGCTGTCACCAGCATAGAAAGCTCAGTACCAAGCAGAACAAAAATTCTATTCCAAACCAATCTCTGATTAGCATCGAAGCTTCAGGCTCTAGTGCTCTACTTCAGTATCAACACATTCTCAAAATGTTCAAGGGAATAACATTGTTTCTCTTAACCAGTTCCTGCTTAATTGTATATAAGACCTTCAATGGTACAAAAAAAGTAAAAATTTAAGTTACGTCTCTGGAATACGCTAGGTCATTTTTTTCCAAGGCAATATTTGGGGAAGCATCACTAACACCTGTATGTAAAATTTACTGCCCATTATGCAACTGTTCAGTGTGAATTAACAACAATGAATGTTACACAGTTGTTAATGAGACAGATTTTACCAGCAAACTAAAAAAAGACCTAAATCCGGTCATCTGTTGTCAGAGATAACCATATCATACACTCCTGCTCATGATTCATCTAGCTTCACATTAAAACCTTTAAAAGTATAAAACTTGTAAGTTTTTGTCCCCAGTTCCTATCAAAAGTTTGCACCAGACCATTATTCCTTTTGTACCTGCAAACTCGCTTCTCCGGGATAGATTTTTCTCTTTCTTGTCTGCGGCAGAGGTATGCCAGGGCAATGCAGATAAACTGGCAGATACATAAATCTTTGGCAAGAGGCAAATTTTCTCCAACCTCCTCCCCCACCAAGCTGCCTAGCATTCTTGCCAATTCTTTCAGCAGAAAGACCCTTTCTGTGGTCATTAGTACTACAATAGGGAGAGCCATGGCTAAGATATTTGACAAGAAAATATATTTTTATGTTGTATTCTTCTCATATATATTTTGTTAAGGCCCAGTGCTTGTATCCATACAACTTGTACTTTTTCTTCTCTTACTGATGAGTACGTTCTCAAGAATGGCTTTCTTTATGGACAGAAGATGAATGCAGTGAAACCATGCACATACCACTTCCATGCATGTCACATATTGAAAAGAATTTAATACTTTTCCTCTCAGAATTTCACCTTCCCTGAATCATTATATCTTTTAATGTTATGCTAATGACACCTTTGGTCTATCACAAGCCTTTCTTTACACCGACTTCCTTTCCAAGCAGTAACGTAGCGTTAACAATAATGCAAAGAAAAAAGAAGTCAGAACAATTACATTTGTAAAGGTAAAGTAATGTCGATTTTTTAAAAGACATTCAAATAGTCCCTAATGTTATGACTCTCAAAAAGCGGAGTTGTTAGTTTATTTAGGAGCTGCTAGGAAATGGTCTTAAACTCACAAACAGGGAGTATGCGTAATGCAGAGCACAGAACCATGAGCAGAGACCCATTTCTTCCACTGCACAGCAAGGGCCAGAAACCATGAGACTGTTACAGTCACTGAAACACCCCAAAGCCTGTGCTTTATGCACACATTAGTATCTTACAAAAAGGTTACTTTGAGAATGAGATTTCACCAAGATGCGTGATGGCCAGAACGGAATTTCTAGGTGAATAAACACTGCCTTGCACAAATCTACCTTCCTTTTATCTCTGTCAAAGAATAGCCAAAAACTGAAGGTTCTAACCTTCCCTTCAGGGAAGAAGATAAGACATATTGATTATATTTGTTTTGATGCATTAAATAATATATCCATTTCTAATTACAACTCAGCCCTGCTGGAGAACGATCATCTTTCACAGAGAATGTAAAGCAAGCAGTTGGAAATCTTACCAAAGACTCCTGTTCCCAGCTTTTGAATGATTTATTGACATCAAAAGCTGTTGGAAATCTTTCCCCCCTTCTTCTTTCTCTCTCTGTAGCATGTTACTATTAGCACGGCTCTTTTGGTTATCATCCCGATTTCAGAATTTGCTAAGGCACGCAGCCTTTGTGTGAGAAAGTTAAAATATCACTCTCCTGGAAAGTTCACACAAAATGTTAACTGCCTATAGGAAAAGAACAAGATGTTCTCACAGCGCGCAGTTCACAGTCAATACCATCATCAGTCTACAATATTGCTTTTTTTCTTCTTTAACATAACCCTTCATAGGCAAAGCCTCTGGAATTTTACTGAAGCAGATGAGAAATATTCTTCTTAGCTTTGCTACAGGAAGAGAATTCCAGAACATCTTTTCCTTAGCAAAAATCTATTTAAAATGCCTGTACTTCACCCTATTTAATTCTTCAGCAGCAGTGCCTCTGCCTGCAGCTGCATCCCTCACTGCAGCCCACGCCGAGCCCTAGTTTGCTGCTACCCAAGGGGTAATAAAACGCATGCTGCACCACGCTGCTCATGCAGGACACTGATGTTTTGTGAGAGTTACAAGGTTGCTCTGTGCTGCACGTACAGATCAGGCAGTAGCTTTACCCGTCTCTCATTTAAATTAAACCCAGTACATACGCATTTACTGCATACTGAACTGTCATGCTAAAAACATTCATGTAACTGTCTCACGACATCCACTTCATTAATGAGCTACCATGCCCTCCCCAAAGTTTTCTCTTTATGCTCAGAAAAGCAAAAACTACTAGACCTCCTCAGAGTAGTTGGGAGAACCCCAGGCATTTGTGCAATACAGCCAATAGGTGTTTTCAAGATGTGCTTTGAAAAAAAAAAATTAGCATCCTGAGCAATATTGGCATTTTAAATAAATTTTAAAGAGAAGAAGTCCTGCACTGGTATATGATGGATTCTAAAAAATATCTTTAAGATACAGTGGACTGCTTACACTGACACTTCTATTTCTAGCAGAGGAGTTCAAACTAAAATAAATGAATTTGTCATAGCCAGCCTATAAGCAAGTTCCAATAAAAACAGTAGCTTCTGCTAACGCTATTTCTGCTCTGTAGTCACACAGGATTTACCCATCCCTTAGTAAAAAGCATTCATGCAAAGCACATTCAGTTCCCCATCCCTCAATCCTTTATATTATTTAGCTTATCCTTCCTTAACATAATATTTCAAAAGAAGAAATAAAAAGCACTCATGATAATTTCAGAATGTTCATGGTGAATCCTGTCAGCTGAGCATACTGAGTTTGGTGGTCCTTGGGAACAGCCAAATTCAGAACCCATTTCTCTTCAAGACGCCCTGAACAACGCCATTCGCCTTTTCATTCTAACCAAGAGTAACTCTGAATTATTTGGAAAACAATAGCATATAATTATTTTAACAGACTCATGTGCACAGGCCAACACGTTGCCTACAATTTCATAAGCCACAACCCTGAAGACTTCCAGGCTTAGCTTCCAGGACTTAGAAAAGTATTAAAAAAGTCAATACAAGCATTTGGAACGCAGAAGTCAGAGGAAATTTCTAAACTTGTTTGCTGAAATAAACTGTCTGGAACTATGTTTAACGCTGTTAGCAATATATGCTATAGCTAGCCTAACAAGCAACATCTCTACAGACTTCTGGGAGAAACTAAGCGTTTTTCAGCATCTCTGGAGTGTCTTCAAATGACTGCCAGGCCTAAACATGGCAAAGGGTCCAAAAAACAGCTGGTTTAACATCAACCTGTCATGAATACAATAGAGCTTAGCTGAACAATAAATGCAAGGGAACAAGGACACTACAGATGCTTTATTGCTGCAGATTCAAATTAAGAGCTTTTATAGTGTAATATTTCAAACACGACTGCTGCAGCCAGTGCATATGCATTGCACCACGGCTGAAGCGAACACCCACAGCATCCTGCTCAACAAGGTTGGTTTGTTACTGGCCTCACACAGAGGAGGGAGGACACTGAGGCCTGGAGGTGACCTGCCTGGCGTCACGGTGGCACTGGGAGGCTGAGGCAACCACATATTGGACAGAGCAAGACCGTATCACGATGCAGCAAAATGAGCTCCCCATGGAACCTTCCAGAACATGGCTTAGGGCCTCTGCAACAGTAGCACACATGCCACCATCAAAGTTCCTCCCAGCAGAAATCTGCATTGGAAAACTTGTTTCTCTTTTAGATCTTTGCTTAAATTCTGCCTACAAGAGGGTTTCTGCCTATGTGCATTTAGGGGCTTCCTTACACACACAAGAAGGTAAAAAGGGGCTTGGGGTGCAACAGGTATTACTTTCTGCTTTGGCATTTGACTTCCTTTCCTTTTCCTTAAAAAACAAATAAAAGGAAGCCATTCTCATCTGCTTTCCACAAAGTGATTGCTTACTGATGCTCCAGATCTTCTCCCTGGCCCTTTGCTAACAGCTTTCTGGACTGTTCTCCTCAGCGCTTGGAGCGCAGGGGCACCAGGAGCCCCACTCCGCCCTTACAGGCCAAGACAGGGCCGGGGCTGTCAAGGAGGGGTAAACACAAAGCCAAAAAGCACCCAAACGCCTCACACATATTAACGATCCCCCAGCACTTCCAGCACACAGAGAAACCTGATTTAGTTTCCCCAGGTTTCCCCCGTTGTCAGCCACCCCCAGCTCAGAGCTGGTACCAGAGCCACAGCACAGGGTACCCTCACAGGGCACCAAGCAACTCCGTGTTTTAGGGGGGCTGTTAATGAGACAACTGGGAGAAGCAGAGGCAAGTATTAGCTCTCACACGTGTTTGTGGGGCCCTGCTAGCTGTGCGTGCGTACATGTGTGGGAGGGGGCTCTTTGCGCCTTAGAAATGA